AGGAGGTGGCATATGATTGAGAACTAATGGTACTGAATGAAGAAGTTGAAGCTGCTCTGAAGGAAGTGCTGAAAAACAAGGCTCCAGGGATTGATGGGATACCCAATGAGATATTTCAACAAATGGATGCTGCACTGGAGGCACTCACTTGGCTGTGCCAGGAGATTTGGAAGACAACTACCTGGCCAACTGACTGGAAGTGATCCATATTTGCACCTATTCTGAAGAAAGGTGATCCCACAGAATTATCAAACAATATCATTAATATTGCATGCAAGTAAGATCTTGCTGAAGATAATTCAAAAGTGCTTACAGTAGTATATTGACAAGAGAACTTCCAGAAATGCAAGCTGCATTCCGAAAAGGATGTGGAACAAGTGATATCATTGCTGATGTCAGATGGATCTTGGCTGAAAGCAAAGAATACCAGAAAGATGTTTCCTTGTGCTTCATTGATTTTGCAAAAACATTTGATTGTGTGGATCATAACAAATTGTGGATAACATTGAGAAGAATGGGAATTTCAGAACACTTAATTGTACTCATGAGGAACTTGTCCATAGACCAGGAAGCTGTCGTTCTGACAGAACAAGGGTACGCTGAATGGTTTAAAATCAAGAAGGGAGTGTGTTAGGGTGTATCCTTTCGCCATACTTATTTAATCTGTATGCCAGGCAGATAATCCAAGAAGCTGGACTATATTAAGAAGAACATGGCATCAGGATTGGAGGAAGACTTATTAACAGCCTGCATTATGCAGATGATACAACTTTGCTTGCTGAAAGTGAAAATGACTTGAAACACTTACTGATAAAAATTGAAGACTGCAGTCTGCACTATGGGTTGCACAAAAATCCTCACAACGGGACCAATAAGCAGCATCATCATAAATGGAGAAAGATTGAATTGTCAAGGACTTCATTTGCTTGGTTCTACAATCAACACCAATGGAAGCAGCAGTCAAGATATCAGACATCATATAGCATTGGGCAAATCTGCTTCAAAGGACCTCTTTCAACTGTTGTAGAGCAAAGATGTTTCCTTGAAGACTAAGATGCTCTTGACACAAGCCATTGTATTTTCAGTCGCCTCATATGCATGTGAAAGGTGGACAATGAATAAGGAAGACCAAAGAAGAGTTGATGCTTTTGAGCTGCAGTGTTGGTGAAGAATGCTGAAAGTATTGTGGACTGCTAAAGGAACTAACAGATCTGTCCTGGAGGAAGGGCAGCTGGATTTCTCTTTGGAAGCGAGAATGGTCAGACTTTGTCTCACCTACTTTGGTCATCTTGTAAGAAGGAACTATTCTCTGGAGAAGGATATCATGCTTGTCAAAGTGGAGGGACAACGATAAAGGGGAATGCCTTCAAAGAGATGGATTGACACAGTGGCTGCAGTGATGGGCTTAGGTATAGCAAGCATTGTGGAGTTGGCACAAGACCAGGCAGTGTTTTGTTCTGCTGTACACGAGGTCACTATGAGTTGGAGATGAGTTGACAGCATTTAACAATAACAAAATAACAACAATAAGTCTTCAATAATTATCTCAGTTTTTTTTTTCTTTTTTTTTCACTTTGCTCTCTCTCCCTCTTGTTCTGGAATTCCAAGCAGGGTTATGTTATTTCTTTTCATATCATCCCATATAACTCTCAGGTTTTCTTAATTTCTCTTACATTTTTGTTCTGATTTTTCCTTATACAAGCTTGTGTCAAGGGATTTGTCTTCTAGCTGGGAAATGCATTCTTCAGCTACTTCAAATCTACTCTCTTGTCCTTCCAATGTGTTTTCTTTCTTTTTTAGTGCTTAACTCCTGTATTTGTAATTGCTGTTTTTGTATGATTTCTGATTGTCTATTTCATCAATTTGCTGTTGAATGATTTTCCTAAATTCAAGGGTATTGTCTGTCTTGCTTTTGTTTATGGTCTCCTTGAGATCTGAGAATGTCCTATGTTTGTATCTTTTGAGTTCTTATCACATTTATTGCTGGTTCTTCCTTGTGGACATTTCTTAATTCTTTAATTTAGACATATGTTTCTATTGTCTTGCCCTGTTTTTTGTTTGTTTGATTTGAAGTTTTCTGTTGTTTCCTAGACATTTTGAAGTTGTTGCCTTTATTTGTTGGTTATGTGCTGATTTGTTTCACCCTGGTTTTCCATTTTACTTTGTTTTAATATGTCTGTAAGTGTGGACAGGTGTCCTTCTATATTTGTTAGCTTGGCTGTCCTGGGTCACTCTGTTTCTTTGTGGTGGTGGAATAGCTGATGGAAATGTGGGTGCAGGTCTGTTTGTCATGAGGAAGATTTGCATTTGGGATGAGCAGGTGTTGTCCACCATCTGTCTTTTATCTTGTTGTGCAGGAGTTGTTGGTGTTAGTCTTGTATTGTGTGAGATGGTCATTGTGGTAGATTTGGCTGAATAGTGGAGAGTTAATGTGTGTGCCTCCCATTGGATGAAGCAGGATAAAAAAGAAAACCAAGGGGAAGAAGAAGAGATGGAAAAGATGAAAAAAATAGAATAAAAATAGAAGGTAAGAAATAGGGAAAAAGGAAAATGAATGTAAGAAGAAGAGGAAAAAGAAAAATTGAGGGGCAGAGAGATAAGTATTTGGTAAAAATGAAGAGGGAGGTGGAGGGATAGATGATTAGATAGAAAGGAAGAAAAATTAGAGAAAAGGAAAGTTGAAAAATAGAGGGAGACTAATGTAATTGAGGAGGAGCTCTTCTAGTTATGGTTAGCCAGTGGCCCTGGGAGCAGGTAGTTGTGGCAGAATCTGCTCATTCCCTGGAGTGCACACTTGTGTAGAAGAAAGGAGGTGGACGCAGGAAGTGACCTCCATGAGAAAAGGCTAAAGCTTGTTTTTTATACTTAATGTATAAAGATAGATCAGCCAGTGATGTAGGTAGGAGGAGAAGGACAGCTGCAGGCCCTGGGTCTATTTGGAGTGGTTTGCTCAGGGTGGTATTCACCCTTCAATCAAAGCTCTGTACTTCACACCCACCAGCTGCCCCACAAGAGAAAGGGCAGCCATTTTCCACAAAGATCCACAAGCCATGAAACCCCCGGAGGCGGTTTTACTTCATGCCAGAAAGAGTTGTTAAGAGTTGGACTCAAGCTTCATTTGGGGTTTGGTTTATTCAGGGAGAGTTGTGCTTCCTTTTCTCTTACTCCCTCCTGGACTCTGAGGCAGCTTAAGCTAAGGGAGGTCTGACCTGTTTCCCTTATAATCTTCTGCCACACATATGGCTTTAGCTCACCTTGAAATCCTACTGATGTGTGTACCCTGTGTCTTTAAAACCTGTGGGTTCTGTGAAGTTTTTTTTCCCTTTCTTCCTCTTTCTCCTTGTGCTTCTCTTTGGGCTGAGCCAGCTTCCCCCCCCCCCCCCCCAGTCACTGTACTAAATCTTTCCTGTCTTTACTAAATCTAATATTTTATCTTCTCTTTATATGGTCATAATTCCAGTATCATTATTTGTGTTTGTTTCACTGAGTTTCTCTGAATCTCTTTTGAAAAGAGGGGTCAGAGAGTGGTCTGTTAGTAGCATGCTATCTACTTTTGGCTTGACACTTTTCCATGTTAATAACTACCTATTTGCTTAATCATTGTAAATGGCTGCAAAATGTGCATGCAATAATCAGTAACAATAAATATTTACATTACTTCTTGATTTGGAGTATCATATACAGTGCTGCAGTAAATATCCCTTTGTCTATTTTTTGTTGTTATTTGTTTGTGTGATTATCTCCTTTTGATAAATTTCTGAAAGTGGGAGTGGTGGGTCAAAGGTATTAAAAACAAGATTTACTGCATTCTAGGAATATGTGATAGTTTATACCTCCAACAGCAGTGTGTTAGAAAGCTCCTTCTCTCTGACTCTCACTTACAGTGGGCTTTTTTGTTTTTTTAAACTTCTGCCAGTATGTTGTATGAAAAAAATTCTCACCTTATTGACAATTTTTATTTTTTAGTGAATTGTATAAATGCTTTGTGTAAAAAGGATAGTATATGTGGTGGCAAATTCTTTTTATCATTCAAGTTCTTAATTTTTTATTAAAGTAGTTTTTGTTTCAGTACTGAAAATTTTAATTACATGATTAAATAATTTTTTTTCATTTTTCTTTTTAGATTTCAGTCATGCTTAACTTTTCCCAGTCTTATATATATATATAACTTGAAGGTATAGTCTATTAGTTGTTGTTGTTATGTGCCATCGAGTCGGTCCTGACTCATAGTGCCCCTCTGAGGTGGTATCACTACAAAAGTAGATTGCCCAACCTTCCTTCTGAGGAGTGGCTGGTGGGTTTGAACCACCAGCCTTCTGGTTAGCAGTCAAGTGCCTTAGGTAGGCACTATGCTACCAGAGCTCCTATTAGTAGCAAAACTTAATCTTTTGAAAATAAATCTGGAGTTTAGATACTACCTAACATCATTTTAATGTGTGTGAACTAGCTAAGTGCGCATTATTTTGACACCCAAACATAGGTGTGACTATATGCAGTCACGATACTAATATTCTTGTTTATCTTGAATGAAGTATAAATGAAGTTCCAAAACGGAAATGTGTTAGGCATGGTTATTAGAATAGAAATACAGCCTCTCTTTGGATATGAAGAATGACAGTATTGCATATTGCTAATATCTGGTATATTTACTTTAAGATTTTAATTTACTTCAAAAACTCCCTTCATAGACAGGACTGAGAACCAGAAACGTTCTTACAATTCCTGGGAAATACACAACCTGAGGTTTTTAATATTTGTAAGACTGTTTTATACTGTACCATTTAAGGCTTTGGAATGATTTCTTCTGGTTTTGCTTTCTAAATAAGGTTAATTACATAGTAAAATAAAATTAAAATATAAAGCAATTTCAGAGAAATATTTATGTGGGGATATTTATAAATTATAACATTATACTACACTATAAGTAATTGGGACATATTCTGGAAATTCTTCATGATAAGGTCATGTTAAAACAGTTTTAACATTTATATTTTGTAAAGATTGACTTGGACTGGTCTACTACAGCATTCATTTTGGAAGGATTCTTTCACTAGAAAAGATCAGGACTCAACAAGCAACGAGGATTCTACCTTCAGGTAATATAAAATCACTTTGTGTGTAGGGTCTTGCTATTAAACATGCATGCACAGTGTTGTGTGCAATTGAGTTGAAATTGCAACCCATCACCATTCTAATAATGCAACAGCAATGACCTGAATTTCTGTGCTTTAAAAAGACAAGAAAATTAAACATTTGTTTAATGGTTTAATGAAAGTGGTTAGTCATAATATTTTTGTGTTCTTGGTTTTATTTTTCTAATCTTAAATCAGTGATTCAGTATGGTAATCATTAGTCCTGTGACCATCTACATGTCCTACCTTCTAGGTGCATGGAACTATTTCCTTTTCTCCTTTGCAGTTAGGCGTGGTCATGTGACTTGCTTTGGCTCATAAAATGTGAACAGAAGTCATGGGTGTTATTCTGGATGGAAATTTGAAGAGCCAGTTGGGGATTTGCCACATTTCTTCCTCCTGAAGAGATAATTGGGAAGAAAGTGTTGAAATGGAGTTGCTATCAGCCTGGGTCCTTAGCAGCTACAGTGGATGTAGCTTTCCTGCCTGCATTCAGTTGGATATGTAGCATGAGTGAGACATGAAGGCACATGATTTTAAGCCACTAGGATCTGGAGGTTGTATTGGTTTCCTAGAGCTGCTGCAACAAAGGACTACAAACTGGGTAGCTGAATTAGACTTGGAGGATAGAAGTCTAAGATCAAGGTGTTGGCAACACCATACTCTTTGAAAGTTTTAGGAGAGAATATATTGCATGTGTTTCTCTTATTTTATAGTGGCTGCTGGCAGTCCTTGACATTCCTGAGTTGTATAAGCATCACTCCAATCTCTGCCATTGCCATCACATGGCCTTATATCCTGTGTATCTGTTTCTCTTCTTGCTTTGTAAGTACGTCAGTCAGACTGGATAAGGACCCACTGTATGGGAGCTACAGAGAAGTTTAAGTCACAGCTCCTACCTTTCAGTTGCTTAGAGTAATGTCATATAAAGGAGGTAATACTCACATGGCATTGGTTGAACTGGGCTCTGGTTCTGCTCTATCAGTGTTAGCAAGTCATAGAAGACCTCTGACTTTTAGTTTATCATCTTTAAAGTGAGAGAAATTTGCTGCTCTGCCACTTTCAACAGAGTTGCTGGGAAAAATATGAGATAACACAAATGAAATTACTTTGACACAGTCAAAGATTATACCAATAGATGTTATTAACTCTCTGCTTTATCCTGCTGCCCTTTTTTGTTCTACAAGATGAGTATCTAGTTCTTTGCAGGGTGACTTTGAAGGAATAAATTAATCCAAATCATTAAAAACTTTTTATCTTGTTGTTGTCATGTGCCATTGAGTTAGTTTTCACTCATAGCAACCCTATGATGTACAACAGAACCAAACACTGCCTGGTTCTGTACCATCTTCACAATTGTTGCTGTGTTTGAGCCCATTGTTCTGGACACTGTGTCAATCCATCTCATTGAGGGGCTTCCTTTTTTTTTTTTTTTGCTGACCCTCCACTTTACCAAGCATAAGTTCCTTCTCCAGGGACTGGTCCCTCCTGATAATATGTCCAAAGTATGCGGGATGATGTCTTGCTATCTTTGCTTCTAAGGAATAAATTAATATAATTTAAATTGTTAAAAACTTTTAGTCTTACTTTGTATATATTGAGAAATACAGAAATGTAGGAAAAATCATCACCAATAAAAGATTTTTGTGTTCTTTTAAAGCCAAGTAAACATTCATATCATCTGTAGGTAGGGACAGTTTTATTTCATGTTTTCTAATCCATTTGTCTTTTATTTTTCTTATCTATTGCACTGGCTGTTGAATCAGAGTGACGAAAGTGTACATTCTTACCTGGTTTCCAACCTTAGAGTGAGAGTAGTTAGTCTTTACCCATTAAGTATGTTGTTAACTATAGTTTTTTTTGTTGTACTTTTTTCCTATTTAAAAAGGTTTCATTCTGTTCCTAGTTTGTTGAAAATTTTTATAATGAATGATTAATTTTGTCATATGTTTTTTCATATAAGCTGATAAGGTGTAATTTTTCTTCTTAGTCTCTTAATACAATGATTACTTGAATTTGGCTTTCAAATATTGAGCCTGCCTTGGCGTTCCCAAAATGTACGCCACTTGGTGTCATGGTGTATCATAGGTTTTATGTATTGCTGGGTGCCTTTGGGGCCAACTGGTAGGAAAATAAGGGAGAGAAAGAAAAGTAACAGGGATTTGCCTTATATTCTTGGGATGTCAGCTCTCTGATCAGATAAAAGAGTTCCCGTCCCATAGAATTGTAGATATCATCTAGCAACTGTTGCTGTCCCCACCCAGCTGCTGTCAGATTACTTGGAGGCTGGGACAGGCAGGGGAATGAAAAGAGAAAAAGAAACTAAGTGATCCCCCTTGGCCTCTCTTACTCATAAACTCACTGCCATTGAGTCGGATCCAACCCATAGTGACCCGCTCCTTGGGTTTCCAAGGCGGTATCACTATGAAAGTAGATTGCCCAATCTTCCTTCCGAGGAGTGGCTGGTGGGTTTGAACTGCCAGCCTTCTGGTGAGCAGTCAAGTGCCTTAGGCACTATGAGACTCTTTGTATCTGTATTTTATGTATTTCTGGGCTAAAGGCCTTTTTGAGTGCAAACAGGGCAACACCAGGAGAAAAATAAAGAGAAACGTATGGCTGGTTTGGTGGTACTTCACGTTCTAGGTTTCCTCTCTAACTGTCCTACTGCCACTTTACAATTTTTTTTGTTGTTGTTTAAATATATTTATTTTGTTGTTGAGAATATATACTTTAAAACATATACCACTTCAACAGTTCCTACATGAATGATTCAGTGATGCTGATTACATTCTTTAAGTTATGCAACCATTTTCGTCCTTGTGAATTGCTCTTCCCTCATTAACATAAACTCACTGCCCCTAAGGTTCCTGTTTAATCTGAGTTGCTGTTGTCAACTTGATCCTCTGTAGACAGTTTTTTTTTTTTATTGACTGATTTCAACCCATTTATTATTATTATTTATTTATTTTTTATTGTGATTTGGGTGAAGATTTACAGAGCAAATTCACTTTCCATACAGCAGTTCACATATACTTTGTCTCATGTCATTGACCACAGTTTACCA